AGGTTGGAGGGGGTTGTCCTTGGAGGTTGGATGGGTTTGTCCTTGGAGGTTGGAGGGCTTGTCCTGGAGGTTGGAAGGCTTGGCCTGGAGGTTGGAAGGCTTGGCCTGGAGGTTGGAGGGGCTTGGCCTGGAGGTTGGAGGGGCTTGTCCTGGAGGTTGGACTCCAAGACCTGTGTTTTCCAACCGGAAGGGCTCTGGATCCCCACCCCCAGTTGGTGCTGATGGTTTCTCTCCAGGTTCGACTCCTACGACTCCTACGACGCGCGGGGCCCGTTGAGCGACCGCGACGTTTTCCGCTTCGACTGCCCCGACGCCGACGGCGCCTTCGAGGGGCCCCACGACGGCTTCTTCGGGAGCCACCGGGAGCAGTTCCAGCCCCGGTCCCGGGAGAGGGGACAGGCCTGGGGCAGAGACGGACACAATCACAGACCCTCCTACCCCGGGCATCTGGGTGGGCACTGGAACGAGCCCCCTCAGTGCGTGGGATCCCGAGGGCTTGGACCTCCTGGCTCCTCCAGGCTCCCTTCCCTCTTCTCCCACAACATTCTCCCAGAGCTCAGCATGTTCCAGGGAATTCGAGGGTTCTCGGGAAACATGCGCTACGGGGGAGGGGCGATGAAGCAGAGAATGAGGAGGAACTGGAAAATGTGGGATTCGGATTTTAAAGTAAGTGGTGGTGCCAAGTTATGCTCCTTGGGTGCTGGGGTTGAGGGTTGTTTCCTACCAGACCCATCAAGCATCCTGCCTGAAGGGCTCTGGGGAGCAGATAATTCCATGTCTTACTGGCTGTGGAGAATGTTATTGTAGAATCATGGGATGGTTTGGGTGGGAGGGACCTTAAAGACCATCCAGATCCAACCCCACTATGAGCAGGGATGCCTCCCACCAGCCCAGGCTGCTCCAAGCCCCATCCAACCTGCCCTTGGACACTTCCAGGGATGGGGCAGCCACAGCTTCCCTGGCCCAGGCTCTCCCCACCCTCCCAGACAAGAATTTCCTCCTCGGGTCCAACCTCCAGCTCCCTCTGCCAGTTTCAAGCCATCCCCCCTGGTCCCATCACTCCTGCCCTTGGCCCAAGTCCCTCCCCAGCTTTCCTGGAGCCCCTTCAGGCACTGGAAGCTGCTCCAAGGTCTCCCTGGAGCCTTCTCTTCTCCAGGCTCAACCCCACAACTCTTCCAGCCTGTCTGCAGAGCTGCTCCAGCCCTCCCATCATCTCCATGGCCTCCTCTGGACTCTCCAACAGTTCCATGTCCTTTCAGTGTTAGAGGCTCCAGAGCTGGGCTCCTGAGGAGGCCCAGGAGTTGTGCTCAGTCACACAGCACCATTGATACATGAGATGTTTTGATCCTAATCCCTGTTTCTCCCGAAGGCAGGAAAACGTCGTGGTCCTTCACAGCTCAATTCCCACTATTCCAGGCTAGAGGAGTGATGGGTTGTCCTTCCTGATCCACTCTCCCTGGCCAGACACTCAGCACAGGAGCTTGACTCATGAAAAATGAGGAGCACAACAAGGCAGTTGCTCCTCTTGGCTTGACCTTTCTCTTCTCTCCCAACCCCAGAAGAAGAGAATCAGGAAGGATCCCATGGCCAAGAAGCAGAAACGAACCAACAGCTCCGAGGATCCCGATGGGAAAGGGACCCAGACGGATGGATCCGACAACTCAGACACTGACAATGGTGAGGAGGGGTGGAGACACTGGGAGGGGAGAGGGTGGAGCTGGGAGAGGGGGAGATGGTGGCACTGGGAGGGGAGATGGAGGCACTGGGAGGGGAGATGGAGGCACTGGGAAGAGAGGTGGGATGGAGGCAGTGGGAGAAGGGATGGTGGCACTGGAAAGGGTGATGGAGGCACTGGGAAGTGGGGTGGAGGCACTGGGAGGGGGGATGGAGGCACTGGGAGAGGAGATGGAGGCACTGGGAGAGGAGATGGAGGCACTGGGAGAGGAGATGGAGGCACTGGAAGGGGGGATGGTGGCACTGGGCTCTGTTCCCCATGAGCCATCCCGCTGTGTTTTGTGCTTAATGTGGCAAAATCCTGGTCTGCATCAGGAATGGTGGGACCAGCAGGGCAGGGATTGACCCCTGTGCTGGGCACTGAAATGACACCTCGAATCTTGGGGTCAGGGTTGGGTCAGAAAAGGGACATTGAGGGTGTGGAGAGTGTCCAGAGAAGGGCAATGGAGCTGGGGAAGGGGCTGGAGGACAAGGAGAAGGGGCTGGAGGACACAGGGAAGGGGCTGGAGGAGCATGTGGCTGTGGCTCTGTGGGATGTGTTCTGATGGACATGAGGGGTTTTGGGGTTGTGTGGTGTTGGTTTTGTGGGACCTGGTTGTGGTGGGAGGTTGGACTCGGTGATCTTGGAGGTCTTTTCCAACTGTGATGATCCTGTGATTCTGTGGGAATTGTTGGTTTCTCTCTGGGCTCCTCCTGGTGGTGATGATGGTGTTTCCTTCAGAGGAGGGAACAGAAGGAGAATCAGGAGAACGGGAGGACAAGGAGGGTTCCAGGGTGAGTAACTCATGAGAACTGCTTTATTGGGATGAAAAGCTGTGGTGCTGGTTGGAGCTGGAAAGGGCAGATCCCTGGACTCCCATGTGATTCCCAAAGGGAGGGGAGAAGGTGGGAGGAAAATGCTCCATGGAGGGAAGTTTGGAGGTCATGGGGGTTCCAGATGCTCCCATCAGCTGTGGTGGCACCACGGGACACCTCAGGGTGTCCCAACAGCAGCAAAATTCCTTTGTGCAAAGAGGGAAACCCCCAAATCCATTCCCTGTGAGATGGAGAATCCCAATATGTGGGACTGTGGGACCTGAAGGCCCCTCTCCAAGGGGGAGATGTTGGATGTAGGACCCCCCGAGCGGGTGCCGTGACGGATTTCCCAGCTGGATCCAGGCAAGATGTTGCTCCTCTAGGTGGTGTTTCCAGTGCCTGGGGAGGGTTAGAGAGGAGGAGGAGGAATCAAACAGCTTCCAGGTGGAATCTGGAGGGTTTTAGCTTCCCAAGCTTCCTTTTTTTTAGGAAGGAGAAGATGAAGAAGGAAAAGACTTGGAGAAAGGTGAGTGGGGCGTGTGCCGGGTGGCTTGTGCATCCCCCTCAGCCGAGGGCTCTGCCAAGGCCAGAGGAGAGAATCCCAGAGAAATCCACTGGGTTTCTTCAGTCTTGGAGCCTCTTCACTCCATTTGCCTCGTGACTTCACTGTCCCTCCTGGTTCCCTGTGTCTTGGTGACCTCAACCTCTGCGCCTCCTCCATGAAGGGCCACGTGGCCATGGCGCGAGTCCCCTGGGGACACCGCTTGGAAACTCTGGTAGATTCCAGAGGTGGGGCCCTCCCAGAGCCTTCCAGGCCCTTGGTGTGAGGCTCTGGTGGGATTGCATTGCCAGGGGGATCCTTCCCAGGGCCACCAGTCCCTGTTGTCCAAGATGGGCCCCGTTGGAGCCGGGGGGACGGGGGCGGTTCCGGCTGCGCTCAGTGCGATGAATCCCATCCTTTGTGTCTGCTCAGGGATAAGGAAGTGCTGTAAATCCCTGCTAGGGAGGAGCTGGAGCCTTTGCACGAGGTAGGTTGGGAACAACTGCAGCCCTGGGGCTCAGGGAACCAGGGCTCATTCTCCTCTGGGCCCTAGACTTGATTTTGGGTAAGTTGTTGGGCTGGAACTTCCAACCTGGAGAAGCTCCGTGATTCCCAAGCCAGAGGGCTGGTTGGTTGGTCCTCACTGTCCCTCAGCACCATGAATGTGATCCTGGGATGTGCAATCCAGGGTGGACAGACACAAAAGCAGCTTTTCTGTCCCCAAATCTGTGGTGTGAAGCCCTTCTCCTTCCCCAGCTTTGTTCTGTTGGCTGAGGATGGACAGGTTGGAGTGGGTGGTGGTGAATTGGTTCCAGGTTGGATTTTTTTCATAAAATCCCATTCCTGGAAGTGTCCAAGGGCAGGTTGGATGGGGCTTGGAGCAACCTGGGCTGGTGGGAGGGGTCCCTGTCCATGCATGGTGGGGTTGGATGTAGATGAGCTTTAAGGTCCCTCCAACCCAAACCATTCCATGATTTGATCAGTACTAAAACCTTCATAAAACGAGTCATAGCAAACAGTAATTAAAATAATTAGTGGAAAACCACGGGAGAGTCTTTCTGCTCTGGCTCTTCCCTCTGACCCCACCCACCAAACCTGTCCCAGGGCAGGGCTTTTTTGGTGGAGGAAGCAGATTTGGGGTGTGTGGTGCTGCTGGATGAAGCAGTTTCCCTGTGGTTGGTTGGTGGGAGCAGCTCCTGGACTCAGTTGGGTTGGTTGGGCCAAGGACTAAACTGGTGGAGGGAAATTCTCCTTAACCTGTTGTTCTCAAGGAGTGCCATGAAATCGTAGGATCATGGAATTGTTTTGGTTGGAAAAGACTAAGATGATCCAGTCCAACTATCAACCCAAGCCCTGCCAAAGCCACCACTGCCCCATGTCCCTCAGCACCATCTCCAGGGCTCTGAAACCCCTCCAGGGATGGGGACACCACTCCTGCCCTGGGCAGCCTGGGCCAAGGCCTGACAAGCCTTTTGGGGATTTTCCCCAAAATTCGATCTATGGAATCATTTTGGTTGGAAAAAACCTTCAAGAGGTTAATGATGGTCTGGTGCTTCAAGGGTGTTGGGTTCTGGAGGCCTTGGCTCAGTTCATCAGGTCCTTCCACAAGCAAAATTCCTATTTTAAGGTTAAACGTGGAAAATAATGAGGGCCAGGAGGGCGGAGAGATCCTGGTGCCTGGGTGGGATGCTCCAAAGGTGCAGAAGACTCAGGAGTGACACCTGCTTTGAACACTCAGGTGCTTTAACCATTCAAGAAGAGATCAGTCAAATCAAACGCAAATTGCAGGCGGGCAAGAAGGCTCCAGAGAGGCACAAGAAGAGGCACCGGGACCGCATGGTGGAAAGGTGAAGGTTCTTGGTTCAGTTTTGGTTTGGAGATGTTGATCCCTTCCTTTGTAGAGATGTTGCTCCTGGAGAGAGTTCAGAGGAGGCCACGGAGATGATCCAAGGGCTTGAGACAGGCTGGGAGAGTTGGGGTGTTGAGCCTGGAGAGGAGAAGGCTCCAGGGAGACTTTGGAGCAGCTTCCAGTGCCTGAAGGGGCTCCAGGAAAGCTGGGGAGGGACTTGGGCCAAGGGCAGGAGTGATGGGACCAGGGGGGATGGCTTGAAACTGGCAGAGGGAGCTGGAGGTTGGACCCGAGGAGGAAATTCTTGTCTGGGAGGGTGGGGAGAGCCTGGGCCAGGGAAGCTGTGGCTGCCCCATCCCTGGAAGTGTCCAAGGGCAGGTTGGATGGGGCTTGGAGCAACCTGGGCTGCTGGGAGGTGTCCCTGCCCATGGTGGGGGTGGGACTGGGTGGTCTTTAAGGTCCCTCCAACCCAACCCATTCCATGATGCCCTGATTCTCTGGGACTCTTGTCCTTCCAGCTGGGCTCCATCCTTTCCTCCCAGTGTTGAGTCTGTTCCCAGAGCAGCTGCTCTGCTCCTCCTTTGTGTCCTGGAAAGAGAAACGGGAAAACCTCTGGGAATCATCCCATAAATGCTCCAAGGCCTGGAGACTTCCATGAGTTGATCTGCCACCCCTTGAGTAGACCCAGGGAGAAGGTGGTTCCACATGGAGCTGGGATGGATGGGGTGGGATCTCACTCCCCCTCACCCCGACTCTCCCCAGGATCCAGTTTGTTTGTTCCTTGTGCAAATATCGGACCTTCTACGACGACGAGATGACCAGTCACCTGGAGAGCAGGTTCCATAAGGAACATTTCAAGTTTGTTGGAACCAAACTGCCTCAGCAAACAGCTGAGTTCCTCCAGGTGAGCCCCTGGCTCTGCTGCTGCCCCCAGGCCTCAGGTTTGGGGGGGTTCATTATTATAATAATGATTAATATGTATTTGGGGATGGTGTGAAGCTCCTCGATGGCTCCTCTGAGTCACTGTGGTGGGAACTGCTGGAGAAGGTGGAGTAAAGTTGAGCTGAATCCTCAGAGGTTCTGCTCCAGCTCAGCTCTTAGACAGGTCACTTCACTCTGGTCTTACTGGTTGCACTGGCAGGAAATAAGTGACTTGCCCAGCACAGATTTTGGTGGCCAGAGCGGGTGATTGAAGTGGAGGACGAAGCGTTGGTGGGACCTGGAGGAGCTTCAGGATGAGCAGCCAGAGAGATGGGCCCAAAAATTGGGGCTGGGGGGTGTCCTGGTTTGGGCCCAACACGAGAACCAAGGAGCAGCCTCGGGGCCTCTCCCTCAACCCCCCCAACACCCACTGGAGTGGGAGGACAAACCCAAGGAGAAGCTCCTGGGTCGAGACAAAGGCCAAGGAGGGTTCTTCACCCATGAAGGTCCCGGGCAAAACAGTCTCAGCTTGGGGCAAAAAGCATCAAGGTCACCCTGCTCAGGTGCCCAAGGACACAGACCCCCCAGAGGTGGTTCCTGCTGCTCCTTCCTCCGCAGAGAGAAGGATTCCTCACAGCCCTGCCCTGCTTCCCCACGGGGAGAGTCCTCCAGGAGCCTCTCCATGAGTCCTTCCCACCAGGTCAGGAGCTGCTCCAGGAGGAGCTGCCCAGAGGAACAGGCACCTCCCCTGGTGCCAGGGTCCTCCACAGCTGCTTCATCCAAGCCCACTGGCCACAAAACCCAAGCCCACTGGCCACGTTCAGCCCTCCTGGTGCCCCCAGGGAATGTCCCACCACGTTCCTCCATGGGTGCAGGGGCACAGCTGCCATCTCCCCATGGGCTGCAGGGAAACTTCTGCTTGGGCATCTTCTTCCCCTTCATCCTCACCACCCATGGGCACCCTCTGTTTCTCCAGCTCCTTTCTCCCCAACTCCTCACCCTGCTCAGCTCTTCTTAGTTCTCGGGGATGTTCATCCCAGAGGAGGATCCGTTGTCTCTCTGATGGCTCCTTGGCTGGGTTTGGGGAAGGGGGAACTTCTCAGCTCCTCTCAGGAGCCACCTGTGGAGACCTTCTCCCACTCCCACCAAAGCAAAGCAGCAGAGGAGGTGGAGGGGGAGGTGGGAAAGGTGACACTGGAATGTTGTTCCCGGCAGGAATACGTTGCAAATAAAACCAGGAAGACCGAGGAGCGACGCCGGGCGCTGGAGGACGTGAACGCCGTGATCCAGCAGATCTACAGGGAGCAGGATCTGACCCAGGGTGAGACTGACCCCCCTGAGCACTGGGGGAACCTTCCTGGCTGGGACACCTGCCCCCCAGCTCTGGGGATGAGAGAAAATGGACCCCCCTGAGCAGTGGGGGAACCTTCCTGGCTGGGACACCTGCCCCCCAGCTCTGGGGATGGGGGAAAATGGAGTGGAGAGGAAGGTGCTGGTGTTGGGGGGGATTATTGAGTTGGGGGAAAAGGGTTTATTGGGATGGGGAAAGGGGGTTTAATTGGGGTGGGGGTAAAGGGGCTGGGGGGCTGGGAAAGGGGGTTTTATTGGGGGTGTG